CAAACGTTCATTGGTGCGTTTTAATTTTGCCATCTCCCTCCTCCCCCCTTTATCATTTATTCTTTCTTTCTTTCTTTCTTTCTTTCTTTCTTTCTTTCTTTCTTTCTTTCTTTCTTTCTTTCTTTCTTGCTTTCTTTTTTTCTTTCTTGTCATGATTTTGTTCACTTTCTCTAATTCCTTTCTTTTATTCTCTCTCTCTCTTTCTCTCTCTCTCTCTCTCTCTCTCTCTCTCTCTCTCTCTCTCTCTCTCTCAGGTGAGGTGTGTGAGAGAGGTGAGAATGTGAGAGTGGAATGTGGTGAGGTATAAGGATGGTGAGGTGTGAGGAAGGTGAGAGGTGTGAGGTGGTGTGAGGAAAGGTGAGTGTGAAGGTGAGGTGAGGTGAGGTGTGAGGTGAGGTGTGAGGTGAGAGTGTGGGGAAGGTGAGGTGTGAGGAAGGTGAGGGTATAAGGGATGGTGAGGTGTGAGGAAAGGTGAGGTGTGAGGGAAGGTAAGGTGTGAGGGAAGGTGAGGTATAAGGGATGGTAAGGTGTGAGGGAAGGTGAGGTGTGAGGGAAGGTGAGGTATAAATCCAACAGCCAAAAGGATTACGCCAATATTATTATTTTCACATAAAAATTACTACCTGAGAGGAATTACCTTTATGTAACTATACTTTTCATTATTTTACATTTATTTTATTTTTTATGTATTTTTTTGTCTCTATTAATGTATAGTGTGTGTATAGTGTATAGTGTACTCGTATGTGTAGTGTATAGTGTATGTATGGTGTCTTTATACTCACACATGGTGGGTTATTTTTAACTTATGTGATGGTTTGAATGTCTGCCTGTCTGTCTGTCTGTCTGTCTGTCTGTCTATCTGTCTGTCTGTTTATCTTATTAGTGTAATCATTATTCATTATTATTATTATTTACTCCGCTTACAAGATAACAATAAACAACTGTAAACAAAATCATTTATAAACAAGACTCGGAAACAAAAGACGATCAGAGTTAGAATTAAACCAGACTAAAGGATTTGATTTTCCTGTTTACTGCAAATGATTAAGTCTGCGTCGAGGAATTTTCAGCTGGCGGTGTTATTACTGTGAGGAGGGAGGAAGGGAAGGGAGAGTAGGAGGGAGGGAGAGAGGGAGAGGGAGAGTAGGAGGGAGGGAGAGGGAGGTAGGATTGAGAACGAAAGGGAGAGAGAGGGAGATAGGATTGAGAAGGGAATGGAGAGAGAAAATGAGAGGTACAAAGGGAGGGAAGGGAGAGAAAAGAAGAGAGAAAGGGAGAAGTGGAGAGGGAGGGAGGGAGATAGGGAAGGGAGAGAAAAGATTGTAAATTTGACGTCTGTCTCAACGAATATTCCTACGATATTCATACGTAGAATCACTGAATATTCTTCTCGTATTATTAAAGCAGATTCACCACATATATTAAGCAATTTTAACGCATTTGATCATTATACTGTATATCCCAGGCGATATAGCAACAGTATATTCAGTATATCGCCATTAATATAACAACACCATGAACAGTATATCGCCATAATAGTATAACAGTATATCCAGTATACCAGGTGTTATTTTTGGCCACATGAATGCAGTAACAGGTCTTTTTTCCCAGGATAATTCAGTATAGTATTGTCTATTTCACCCCGAGAGCTGTTTTAATCACAGGACAATTAATACATGTGTGTGTGTGTGTGTGTGTGTGTGTGTGTGTGTGTGTGTGTGTGTGTGGGTCAATATAGGTGGTGGTGACGTTACAGAGAAGTGATGACGTTACAGTGACGTGGTGAATAATGTGTATATGTGTGTATAGTGACTGTATAATGTAATCTCTCCCGTATGTATGATAAATAATGACATAATCTACAATGAAATATTACTGTAGGATGATATTATTTTTAACACACACACACACACACACACACACACACACACACACACATAATAATATTTTCGTAGAGTGTTTTATGATGACGTTTCATTCACTGGATGTTATAAACCTTTGTTAAATTGTTCATATAAATATTTAGTAATAATTTTGGTAATGTTATTCATATTGTCGTTTATATATAAATTTATGGATGTGTTTTTACGAGTCATATATATATAAGGCTTATTAATTATACTGATATTTAATAATGTTTAAGAGTATTTATTCATTATGCTTGATAGTGATGTTTAAGTAATGTTAATAATACTCGATAAAATGTTTGGTGGTTGATAATAATGTTTAATAATAATGAAAATAATGTTTAGAAATTGGTATTGTTGTTTAATAATACTTAATATGAAAGACTTATAACGTGATCAACACACACACACACACACACACACACACACACACACACACACACACACTTGATTGACACATAGACACGAGCAACAGACAGACAGACAGGAGGGGCAGACACAGACACACAAACCTCATCAACAGACAGACAGACAGACAGATACGACTGACACACAAGCCATCGTATAATACCTGGTAAACACGTAAGGTAATAAAAACAATTACTTTGGCCATAACACCTGTGTTTTATAATTACAGGTAGGGGAAGTGTTCTCTATTTAAGGTGAAATTGACTAGAAAAACATTTTATTTGTTGTTGTTATTCTACCAAATTTACACACACACACACACAAACACACACACACACACACACACACACACACACACACACACACACACACACACACACACACACACACACACACACACACACACACACACACACACACACACACACACACACACACACACACACACACACACACACACACACACACACACACACACACACAAAACACACACACACACACACACACACACACACACACACACACACACACACACACACACACACACACACACACACACACAGTACATCACAAATTATGTATAACAAATTAATGAGTATACAAAGTTTAATATTCAAACCTTGAGAAAAGTTTGTTTTTATTATCATTCTCTTATAGATGATGGTAAAAGTAGAAGTATTTCTTAATAGTTTTACTTTTATCAATATAGATAATTAAAAGTAGTTACTTTTTCATTAAAAATATAACAAAAAGTATAAAAAGTAATATTTATGTTATATTGCATTACTTAAAGAATGAAGTTACATCATACACGATTACTTTATGGGTCTAAAAGTTTGTTAAAAGTAAAAGTGTACTATTTTATAAACGTACAATTTGCACAACAAGTGGCAAAAACTAAAACTTTTTCCACTAAAGCGGTTTAAAGGTTAATATTTTTTTCCAGTGCCCTCGATGAAAAAGTATTAGGTGTTATTTTGCTAAAGGTTTGTCAAAAGTATAATTGATTTAACCTCTTGAGTACGATGATTTAACCCTTGAGCTTGAGTACGACGATTTAACCCCTTGAGTACGACGATTTAACCCCTTGAGTACGACGATTTAACCCCTTGAGTACGACGATTTAACCCCTTGAGTACGACGATTTAACCCCTTGAGTACGATGATTTAACCCTTGAGTACGACGATTTAACCCTTCAGTACGATGATTTAACCCCTTCAGTACGATGATTTAACCCCTTCAGTACGACGATTTAACCCCTTCAGTACGATGATTTAACCCCTTCAGTACGATGATTTAACCCTTGAGTACGATGATTTAACCCCTTCAGTACGATGATTTAACCCCTTGAGTACGACGAATTAACCCCTTCAGTACGATGATTTAACCCCTTCAGTACGATGATTTAACCCCTTGAGTACGACGATTTAACCCCTTGAGTACGAATATTTTTACATACAATAAAACGAGTGTTTTTTTCCGCCACAGTTTATAAAGTAGTCAAAAGTATATATAGTTCTTTCCATAGTTTATAAAGTAATAATAATTTAGTAAAAAGTTTATATTTCTACCTATATATATAGTTTTATAAAATAGTAATGACGAGTGAAAAAGTAATATTTTCATCACAGTTTATAAAATTTAATAAGTCGTAAATATATTTTCACCAAAGTTTGTAAAGTAATATGTAGTAGTAAGAAAAGTATATGTACCTATAAAAAATGTATTATATATTTGTAATAATTAGTGAAAAGGTAGATATATTTTCACCATAGTTTGTAAAGTAATAAAAAGTAGATATATTTTCTCCATAGTTTGTAAAGTAATAAAAAAGTAGATATATTTTCACCATAGTTTGTAAAGTAATAAAAATGTCGATTTATTTTCACATAAATTCATAAAAAGTAGATACAGTTTATAACATAGTAAAAAAAGTAAATATATTTTCACCAAAGTTTGTAAAGTAATAAAAAGTATATGTAAAAGTTTTCCTTCTTCACTTGAGTTTATATCATCAAATATAAGGGAATAAATATATTTCCCGGTACACATGATTAATATTTTTTCGCAGTTGTTTGAAAAGTATAATTTTTCCCGACTTCAAATTGTTAAAAGCTGTATTTTTCATCTCGTAAAAAAAGTATAAAATTCCGTAGCAATTAGCCAGAAAAGTAGTTTTTCACCACAAACAGTTAAATTATATGTATTTTTTCGCTGTAAATCATTAGAAAATATAGTTTTTGGAGAGAAACATTAAAAAATTCATATATTTTCGCCATTAATATTCAAACAAGTTTATTTTTCACTACAAATGGTCATAAAACGTATTGTTACCACCACAAATAGTCAAAATATTATAGTTTCTTTCGTCTGCTGAGCATTATTGAAACTACTGAGCATTAGTATGGTGTCTCTTTAAGCATTAATTAAGCCGTAGTGTCGGGAACCACTAAACGTTGCCAAGTCATGTTAAGCTTTGAGTACTATTAAACATTATCACTGACTACTGTTAAACATTATCACTGAGTACTGTTAAACATTATCACTGAGTACTGTTAAACATTATCACTGAGTACTGTTAAAAATTATCACTGAGTACTATTAAACATTATCTTTGAGTACTATAATAAAGTACTCTTAAGCTTTATCATACCGACTATTATTAAGCTAAATTAAGGACTTACCTGCGAGGTGTAGCAGTACGGGCAGGAACCAACCCACACACAGCATCATATTCATCATAGTCATCATATTCAACCACAATGATAATGACGATGAGTAATGTTAATCCTTATGTTATGATGATAATAATGACGTAATAATTATATCTTTGATTTTTTCACTTATTATCTTTCCATTATTTCCGTCTTTATCTCTATCTATCTCTTTCTCTCTTTCTTATAATTTATTTTGTCTCTCTCTGTTTCTCTCAAATCTCTATATTTTCTTCAAATTTTTCTCTATCTCTCTCCAATAATTTATTTAGTATCTCTCTATCTCAAATATTTATCCAAAGTCTCTTAGCATCACTGTCTCTCTCTTTATCGTTACTGGAAGACGGTGAGAGACCTTGGAAAATAGCTCTCACTTTCCTCTTACCAAGCTGGGGATATGTATAGAACTGGTTACGATATCGGTGTGTTATCGGCTTGCTAGATATCGGTGTGTTATCGGCTTGCTATATCAACGTTAGCTTGTGATATCGGTGTTGTCAGCTTTGTGATATCGGTGTTGTCAGCTTTGTGATATTGGTGTTGACAGCTTGAAATATCGGTGCGTTGTCAGCTTTGCGATATCGATGTGCAGTCAGCTTTGCGATATCGATGTGCAGTCAGCTTTGCGATATCGGTGCGTTGTCAGCTTAGCGATATCGATGTGATTATCAGCTTGCGAAGTGTGTTATTACCTTACGATATCAGTGTGTGTTTATGAACTTGCGACATCAACGTGTTTATCAGTTTATGCTCACAGACATAGAGTTTCTTGAATACGTCTAAGTCGTTATCGTGTTATCTCAGACACACACACACACACACACACCAAGATTAATGTGTTTTCGTCAGGTTATGAAAGAAAAACTATTCACAGACAGACATACAGACAATTCTTCACTTAACACAGTATTTTTTTATTTTTTTTTGCGTATTATAGTTTTTAATAGTCACTGGAGATATGTTTCCTTACCATAATATTCTTGGTTAACTTAGATATTAGTTAATAGATCTATGTTAACTAGTCCCAGAGCTTGGTGGTGTAGGGAGAGGGGATAGTCTTAGTATTACTATATTGTCTTTAACTAACTATTAAAAACAAAACTCAGACTTTTTTTTTTCTCAGCGTCAAATTGAGCAAATATTCAGAACTTTGTCAAATTCCTGGGTTTTGTTTACGTTTTGATGTTCGTGGTCTTTTTTTAACAATATAATCCGCCGGTGATGTTTACCTCAGGGTAATATTTTGCTTCCGGTAGATGAGAGTTTCTTATGGGGAGTTTGTATTTTATTTTTCTAAGTTCCACCACCAACTGAGGAAGAGGAGGAAGAAGAGGAGGAAGAGGAAGAGGAGGAGGAAGAAGAGGAGGAAGAGGAGGAATTCGTACGCCCACAGGCTATGTTCAAGTCGAGGCGCGCGTGAAACACCCCCCTCAACCAGCTCTAACAGACCTCGGTCACGTCTTCTCTCTCTCTCTCACTCTCTCTCTCTCTCTCACTCTCACTCACACTCGCGCGACTAACCGGTCTCTCCCTAACCGCGGTCCGAGGCGCACTGAAGCTGGC